GCTGGCTTATGGATGCAAATGGAGAGGCTGAAAAGAGAGGGAGGAAGGAAAGGGGGAGGAACCTCAAAAGCATCTAATATGTTCATGCTCACAATCAAAATGTATTTGCTTTTTTTGCTTAAATAGACACTATATTTATAAATAGACACTATAGAACTATTCTGCAAGACTTCTTAATCTGCTTCACCCAGACCCAACCCTGAGAGAGATGTACCATGATGAAAGGCAGCAGCGGAGTTTGCTCTCCAAGTGCCTAAGCAGAGGCCCCAAAAGAGTTCAAACAGAGAGAGACAGCCCATGGGGATGGAACTGAGGTAGCAAGAGGCAGGGTGGCTCTGGGGACCAGACCTCCCCAGGAGAGCATGGCAGCAGGCAGGGAGGGTCCCCCCCCCCCCCCCCTGCCAGCATGCCTTCTGCCATGCAGTGGTGGGAATCAAACCTACCCACCCGACAAGCATTCCGCAGTGTGCCGGCTCTGCCAGCACGGGCTGGCATCCTCCCAGCGACCCCGCAGCTCCTTGTGGGAACGCAGCCCTGGAAACTACACATTCCCATGCCAGTTTCTGTGCAGCTGACCCCTGAAACCACAGTGTCTCTCTGGAGGAATAGGGGTTCCCCCCGCCTCCCCTCTTTATTGGAATCAAAGAACAAAAAATTGCTTTGACTCCTTCAGGTTCAGTTGCGTGAAGGTCACAACCAGGTTCTGGTGCACTTGGGGAGCATTTCTATGTTGAATTTCTTAATTGTAACCAGAAGAGCTACATTCCTTGGCATTGCTGAGAGGCTGCTGGAGGAATGAAGCGTATTCCCAGAACAGTTCGTACTGCGGGGCAATAGGATGCACTGAAAATGACAATTGGCTGGGAACCACAAAGAAGAGAGAAATCACTAACTTGATTTGAAAGATGGGAGAAGGGTTTGAATTAGCCCATATCCATTCTTATTCATCGACATTGCTCCCTGGGATTCAAGGCAGCGTTCCCTCCATGAAGGTTTCCCACGTAATGAATTCAGTCTTTCTGTGGACCAGCAGAGCCAGAGCCAGCTCATACAGTCCAAGCCTCAGCTTTTCAGCCAAGCCTATAACTAATGTAAGCCAAGGGTTTTAATTATTATTATTATTTTATTTTAATAGACACATTTTTAGGTTGAATGTTGGTGCTTATTTTCTCTCAGTATAGCTACTACATCAGGGTATAACAGTTACCCTGTAAGTTATTAAAATTAACACAATTTTCTCATGCTGAGGCTAGGAATATCTAGTTTCCCTTTCACGCATTTGCATGAGCATAAGCATACTCAGGACCCTGGAGAAAAATATGGACCACATGCTCCATCATACTTTGCTGCTTTTGCAGCCCTAAAATGGTGTAAAACAAGCTGCAAGTTGGGGAACTTTTCAGGAACTGGGGATTCATACTAAAGCACAAGATTTTCATAATTGTAAAGATCCTTTCTCAGAAAGGTTTGGGTTTTTTTAGTGCATCAACTGAAAAACAGAGCAGTAATTCCCTGGGGCTTTCCACACTTTACCCAGCAAGAGGGAAGAAAGTACCTTCTTCCTCTTAATCCCCCAGTAAATTTACCTCAGCTTCTCTTTGTTACTATGCTCAGTCCTAAGGAGCTATGAGACAAGCAGTATCTATGGCCATTTTCAGGCTGTAGGGCCTTCTCTGTGCTACAGGGATTTAGATATTTTTAGGCCCTGCACATTGTCAGAGATGTGGCCAGAGGAATTCCAGTACCCAGGCTGGTCTCAGCTCTGGTTACAAGTAGGTCAATAGCAGTTAATTGGATAGAGTTGACCTCTCTTAGATCTGATTTTTGCCACTCTCCCTTCTGTTACTAACCCCTTCTTCAGTGAAATTCAAAACTGCCCACAGGGCAATAAAGAGAACCAGCCTGGCTGCCCTTCACATTGCCCTAAAATGCAGGTAGAAGGTCTGAGCTACACACAGAAAAATAGGTTTATTTTTGGGGTGGTTTCTGTGCGTTTTTTGTTTGTTTGTTTGCTTTAATTCGCTGGTAGCATAAATAATTTCTGTCTGGGGTGGTAAATGGTGCTGTGATTCTTGTGGCTGAGACTTGGGAATCAGAAAACTCTTTGATCTTTCTCTATGCAATTGCAATCACTGCTGCTAATACAGGGGAGAAGTAAATTAAGTCCATGTATCTTATGCATGACCAAGCATTTTTGGTGAATGATTTAACTTTCCTATTTTACGGGGACTCTGAGGGATAGGATTGATTATTGCCTCCAAAGCTTTGCGAGGTGCTCTGTTGCTGTCACAAGCACAGCAAGCGTGACCCTGGTGACACTTTGCCTGGTTCAGACCCGCTCTGTGGAAGGCAAAGCACTGTCCATGCAGCTGCATGAACATTTTTTAGGCTACAGAGACATCTGGTGGCATTTTTCCAGCCTCTACGCTCAGCGCATCCATCCCTACTCAGAGGCCACAACAATCCTTTCTCTGATGCCTGAGCCAATCCTTTTTCCACTGCAATCTTACCTTGTTACCTTATTTTTTAAAAAAATATATATAAAAAAAATCAACCCCTCCTTTTTTAAATTCTCTAAGTAGCATGGAAACATCTTAGCAAATTTGCAGAGTGTTTCCCCATCTCCCAGCCCTGTAAAAGGAAGTCCATGAGATGTTCAGTAAGGTCATCATTCTGCCTCTTGCTCTCTTCAAGCTAAGCTCTTCTACCCCCAAACCTAATTAAAATTACATAAACGTCACTTTGTTTGCCACCTCCTGTGAATTACTTGGCAGATTCTCACTAGACAGATCATTTCACAGCTCAAGCTCCTATGATAATCCAGTGCTAATTCATGCCACATCTCCTCCAGGTGATACCACAGCCCAAGGTAAATGCTAGGGGTTTTACCTAATTAATTCCACACAAGCTTAGAGGGATCGAAGCAAGCACTGTCAGTGGCAGCAATCCACTTGTGTAGGGACCAACCTCTTCTTTAATCAGCGACAAAATATTTTCAGCCTGTGTTTCCTTTGTGTTTCATTTACCTTCAAACTCTCTGGTGAGCAAGCTGCATCACGCTGGCTCCCCCTGCTCCCCACCTCCAAAGTGAGGAGAAAAAGAAGGTGGTATTTTCCTACCTCCATGTTTGCTGTTAATGGCTTTACCAAAATTCAAAAGGCAAATCATGACTCATGTAGGGGCTGGTAGAAATGCAATCTGTATAAAGAGGGTCTCATTGGCTGCTGGGGCTTACTGAAGCAAGAATTTTACCGGGAAACGGGGACCTGCAGGCTGGCAGCATCATTCCATCCATCTGCATATAACTACCCATTAAGAAAATCAAACAACAAAAGAAACGTGAGAATATGTTTATCGTCACAGCAGCAATGTCTGTGACAGGTTTATTCAGAAATCAGCTGTGGCACTAAATCTGTTGGTTTCCATCATCTCCATAGCAATGAGAGGAAATGCTACCCCAAGGGGCTGAAACTGTCCAAGACCTTCATTAACAACCTGGACAGAGCACAAGCTCAGACAGTCTGCAGGTGACACGAAGGTGGGAGCAGTGGCTGATATGCTGAGGGGTCGTGCTGCCATCCAGAGGGAACTCAACAGGCTGGGGACATGGGTTGAGAGGAACTTCATAAATTTAGCAGATGGAAATGCCGGATCCTGCCCCTGAGGAGGAACTAGGCCAGGCTGGGGCTGACCTAAATGCTGGGGGCTGACTGGCTGGAGAGCAGCTTTACCTAGAAGTACCTTGGGGTTGTCGTGGATGACAAGCTGGCCACAAGCCAGCAATGACCCTTGTGGCAGAGAAGACCAACAGTGTACAGGACAATGCCAGCAAGCAAGTTGAAGGAGGTGGTCCCTGCTGTCTGCTTAGCACTAGTGAGGCCATATCTGGAGTATTGTGTCTGGTTCTGGGCTCCCCAGTACAGTTACTGAAAATAGTCCAGTGAAGGACCACAAGGATGATTAAAGATTTGGAGCATCTGACATGTGAGGAGAGGCTGGGAGAGCCAGGACTGTTTAGCCTGAAGGACACAAGGCTCAGGGGCGTCTTATCGATGTGTACCTGACTGCCAGAAGCTGAAGACAGACTGTTCTCAGTGGCCTCCAGAGACAAGACAAAAGGCAATGGGCACAAACTCATTCAGTAAATTCCATTTAAAGCTAAGAAAAAACCTTTCTTACTGGGTGTGTGGGGGGGTGTGTGTTTGAACATTGGAATGGGCTGCCCAGAGAGGGTGGGAAGTCTCCATTCTTGGAGATATTCAAAACACGAATGAACACAGCCCTGAGCAACCAGCTCTAGTTGACTTATTTTAGTGAGTTTAATTCTGGTTCCCAAAAGCTTGGAAATACTTGGTCTAAAGAGGCTACAATTTTCCCACATGTATTGTCTAGTCAATTGACTGATTCCTGTTAAGTTTCTCCTAGCCTAGAGCTTTTTGGTAAGAATAGTGGTGATGATATGGTGGATATTAAAATGGGATAGGTTTGACTGAAAATACTGCTGAGCTGATACATTTCTGTTCTCTGACTGGATTAATTACGAGAAATAGGTAGAATAATTAGGCCTCCAAAATGTAAGTGGTCTTCAGCAAATATTTCTTTGTCAGAGAACTAAAAACAATGTTGAAAAAGGAGGAGAAACACTTTTCTTGGTCCTAGCTGGCTGGGTTTTAGCTGCAGTTTTGAAAACCGGTACAACATTACATTATAGTGCCACTAAAAAAAGGCAATTCATGCCTGTATGAATGTAGTACTTACACCCAACTAATCAATTAAGACTAAATTTTATCATGTACATGTGAGAGCAAGCAGCTGTTAAGTTAACTTTTGTTCTCTGCTCTCATTAAATACCTTTTCTCATCAAAATTTCCCAGACTAAGGTAGTACATTGGCTTCCTGGTAAATCAAAGTGCCAATATAATCCACTTTTCCCATAAAAGCAAATTTTTATTTCAAACAAAATGGTGCAGGTCCAAAACTGATGTCAGTTTAAAGGTGGAATGTATTAACATTAATTTATTTTTTTCTGAGGGTGGGATGATTGTAAAAATGGTTTTGTTTAAAGTTATACCAGGAGTAATGGCCAAGTTGAAATTTCTGACTGCTAAAGAGATCTAAAAGCTATATACAGCCAGAAGGAATTTATTTTCTGAAGAAAAATATCTAGAATTCTAGTAATGCCCAATAGCCAACATAATGAATCACAACTGAGCTGAAACCACTTAATGGGTGTATTTTTCAGCACAAAAGCACTTTCACATTTGATTAGTGTTGAAGGTACATCCATATGGTTCCTATACAGTGTCATGTAGAGATTTCAGTGTTAAATTTTGAAAAAAAAAAAAAAAAAAAAAAAAACCAAAAAATCACATCAATTGTAGGCACATGTGAGTGAATTATGACCACACTTTAGAGGGGAAACAAAAAAGAAGGAAAGGAAAACCAAAACCCAACCCCAAAACAACAGCAAAGGAACTGCATGTGACATACGATCCAGCTGGAAAAGCCCTCTGACTCAGTCACACAGTCTCTTAATTTTTTATATTTTTAGCTAAGGGCATCCAGCACTAGCTTGTGTCAGGCAAAAGAATTGTTTTGGTTATGAAATCATTTCCACTGCTTCCCTTTCTGTCTAAATAATTAATGTGTTGGAGCTACTTGGAGCTGAATAGATGTCTGAGGTGCATTTGACTGCATTTCTTAGGGTATATTAGAAATTAGACTGAAGTAATTTAGCTGCTGTTTACCTATGCTTACAGATAATAGGATGCACATTTAGCAAAAGTAATTTTCTTTGGAGGAAGGTGTCATTAATATAAAATGTCTGTAAGGTTTATTCTTATTTTGGAATATTACTTCCCCCTCTAATTCTGCCACAACTTTGTATTTTTCAGAGAAGTGTTATAAAGTTAACAGACTTCTCTCCACTGAAGAGAAGCCTCCTTTCTTCTTCCTCAAGATTTGTTTTAGGTTATGAATTTTCTAGCTATCACATGAACAAAATAGTGAAATATCCACAGGGACTTCATTTGTATGTGTTTAAACTTGGTTTTCAAACTGGATATAAAGTGATAATCACGAGGTTTTATGAAGTGGTTCTCATTTTCAATGTACTACACAAAAGAGAAACTGTTCCATTTTCAATAGCCCTATGAGGCAGAAAGGTAAGTAAAGCTCCAGTACTCAGAATCTTGTTTTGTAGGTGGGCCATAGAGATTCAAAACAGTATTTCCATACACAATTCCCAGTGCCTGGGTGCTTATGCAAAAATAACCTAGTTTTCAGTTCTCTTTGGCAAACTTCCACACTGCTCATATATGGTTTTATGGCATGTGCGTTGCCTGGCATTCCTAAAACTGGACCTCTTTTAACGGGTACCATTGTTACAAAAACTTCTCCCTAATGTTCTCACGGCCTCATACTGAATGGGATGAGAGCTGCACCAGGATGGAGGAAGACTTGGTGCCCTACAGACTTCTCCCCAGTGTGCTAGGCCTGACTGCTTCAAGTATTTCTAAATAACAATCATTTTGCCTGAGCTGACTGACTGTGGTCCTGATCCTGCACAGAACTACTTACATGTGAGACTTCATGCATCCAGATAACCTAATTAGCTCTAAGGATACTTGGGGTGTGACAGGTTAACCACATGCATGCATTTTTGCAGTACAAGACATTGACAGAAATGAAGGAACTGCTGATTGCAAGCCTTCCTTTTTACATCCAGTTGGATTTGGACACCAGAATATTAACTCCTTTAAACAATTATTTCTCCATACAAAACTGAAGAAGCAAGCACTTTTAAAGAGCATCCTGTGGTGTTGTTTTTTTTTTTTTTAAGCAGGTCACAGCAGGCTATTTAAAAGTACCTCTTAATTGGTCAGAGCATGCAGAGGTGCCAGAAGGAAGGAAGGGGCTGTTCGTTGAGCATTCACCCTGCACAAACAGCTGCACGTGCAGCACTGTAACATAGCCATCATGTTTTTTAACGCAGCAGAAGCAAAGGTTAATTGCTTGCATTTACTGCGCAGTTCAAAGTGATCTCATACAAAAGATTTAGCCTAACAGCTGCTTGAACTTTACAATTTGAAATTTCATACCATTTGTTGGAATTGCCTTTTAATTAGCCCTCTGGGGGTATATGTGGTGTTTATTGATTAATCCTTCCGCAGTTGTTTTTTAAATAACAGTTTAATTCTCTATGTTAGGTAGCCCAGTGATGCTCTGCTATTCCCCCATGAGAGGAGAGGGAGAGGGAGAGGGAGAGGGAGAGGGAGAGGGAGAGGGAGGGGAGAGGAGAGGAGAGGAGGG